AGGCATCAATTCTCCTTCTATCCTCCCTAGTCATTGTCCAACTCTCTGATGCATAACAAGCGATTGCAAAGACCATGGCCTGTATCAGGTGCACCTTGGTCTCCAGAGTGACACCATTTCTTTTTAGTAGGTGCTCAATAAAGTTAATAAGGTAAGAATACCTATGATTATAAAGCAAAGTTCCAAATATGTTAGACAGTTACATGAAATCCTTTTCTGTGAGCTTTAGACCAACTATTTACTTCAGATATAATCTGCCTCTGGCTTTCCTGGCATAGAATGTCTTTTTCTCAAGTCTCCAGAGAGTTGCCAAGGCCATAAAAGTGCCTTAACCATGGCCCAGCTGTCACATACAGTGGCCTGAGTCAGGCATTTCAAGGTAATAAAAACAAGGAGCAGGAAAGTGGACAAACCTGCTTTGTTTCTCATCCTACAAAGAAAGCATCGAGCCCCCACAAAGAGCCTTAAATCTTCCTCCCAAAGAGTTACAGCCTTCAGAGGTTGTAAATCACACAGGAGGAAATTGCCTAACCTCTGAGGAGCAGCGGACGGATTTGAACAGCCTGGCTTTGGATTGACAGCACAGCTCCTTAGCACTCGGCCACCAGAGGTCTCTATAATGGCCTGTGTTGTTGTTGTTGTGTACCGTTGGATCAAAACCCACCCATAGCTGACCGACTGGTGGGTTTTCAGAGGCAGCTAATTGCATGGGAAGAGAGTGTCTGTCTTTCTCCCAGGCAGCAGCTGGTGGTCTTGAACCATGTGCTTTTGGGGATCGCAGCGCGCTTCTTGCCACTAGGACACCAGAGCTCTCCCTGTATTGACCTCTGGTGTTGTTATTGTTGATGGTCTTCAAGTCAAGTAGGACTCATAGCAACCCTATGAACAAAAGGCCTGAAGCCCCTTTACAACTATGGACATTCATCAAAGTTCATAGAGTTTCCGGAGGCGTGTTGTTTAGGAAGTGGACGCCACTCCTGCTTCCAAACCTCTCACGTACAAGTAACTATTTCTTCGTGCCTGTTTCTTTCAAGGAATTTATTCTGTTTCACCTAAATTGTCAAATTTCTAGGAATTAAGCACAGTGAAAACTGGGAGAGCTGGAACTTAACAGGGCAGCCTTGTTTTTCCAGGTGTCACAAATTCCCCACCCACTACATGATGTGGTCTTACCACCTTCCTAGGCCTCATTTTAGCGGAAAATGTCCATATTTTCCTTCTCTAGTGACTTTCTACTTTATAGGGTTTGGCTTTCACAGGTTTTATTCTGGTTTCTAAGAAGAATATTCTTATTCTTCCCATGTAGGTGAGCCTGTAGCATCCCAAAGGAGTGGCCCACACCATTCTGATCTTTTTTACCTTAAATTGTGAGAATTGTTAAGGTAGTCAGGGGGGTGGGGGGAGAAGAACCTGAAATGCTTGCTGCAGAGGGTCAAGGACTGCTGCCTTCAGTATGGATTGAGGCTCAGTGTCAAGAAGACAAAGATTCTC